TTCATACCTAATAATCTAAACATTTTGACTTAATGAGATTTACGTGTAGAGAAAATCGACCTAATCTTTTTTGATAGTTCTTTCAAAAAGAATTAAAAAGTTCACAGCGGTATAGCAGTTGAGTTAGAAATCCCTAAGGCTGGATTTATTAAAAACTTCATTTATATTTTCCATTGTAATGAATTTATAAATTTCAATATAGAAAAAATCCCCATTTAGACATTTAGAAAACACAAAGATTGAGCGAAGAAATATTTACTTTTCAATTAGATCCTCATCTCGCTCTGGCTCTACTCTAATATACACGTATAGCATTTTTATTACAATACACAACAGTTCACCAATCAAGTGGCACTGATATGTTTGTTAACAATAATTGTCAGTGTCAAAATGTCAATGGGGTGATAATTAACGAAGAAAAACAATACGCATTTAAAAGGTAGAAGTGGTTAGAATAAATTAATTTTACAAGGATAACACTTAATTAAAGATGAAGTGGTCAAAATAAATAAAAAATAAAATAATTTGGACAATTATAATTTTAATAATTTTTAAAGGTTTAGGGGGAGGGGGCGAAGTAGTCTGGTTTATACATTCATGTAACGATGGCCACGGTAAGGAAAGTAGCTGTACAAATTTATTCTGAACCCACAGGTTTGGCTGGATTCCTGGATTCCTATTGCTTCAGCTGTAGGCAGAAGACGAACTAGTAGAGCGAAATTAAGATTAGTCGGAATGCGATAAATAATTTTAAATGCAGTATTAACGTCCACCTTATGGTCACTATCTACAAGATGTGCTAAAATAGAGCTACGAATAGATCTTGTTTGTCCCTTGCTTAACCATGTTGGATGATGTTCGGAAATACGATGATGAACCTGTCTAATTTTTGAAGTTCTAAGGAAACCAATAGCAATTAAGGTGAATTAAATTAGATGTTCAACGGTACTGTGTCGTGAATTGACAGAATTTAGAATTCATGGGTGGATGAATTCTAAATCAGTAGGTGAAGAACAAAGTGCTGTCTTTGTAATCTCAAGTTCTTGAATCTCAACGCCTGAGTCCAGTCATAAGTGTGTGTACAGCTAACGACTCTCAGACTAGGATTAAATAACTATCTAACACTCCCTGGTTTTTAACAGTCGTCTAAATGATGACAATTCGTGAAGAAACTTTCCCTGAAATTGACTACTCCTTCACAAACCATTACTATATCTGTCTTAAACGAGTGGATTAGCCACAAGATACAACTGAAAAATAAAAATTCTTTTTCCCTTCTATTTCCTGAGTTATATTAAGCAAAGAGTTTCTGTCTACTTTAATTGCGTTATGTCTGGCTGATGACCAGTTTATTAAAAAAGCTACGAACCAAATTTATATAATTTGATGAAAACCTGTAAAAGCAGTAAATTACCCTGACCTTGCAATTATACTCCATTTAGGTTAAGAGGTGAATGAGATGTTAATTAGCTTGAAAAAAATATAAATTAAAGTGTTCGGCTGAATTTAAGAAAGTATACTTGGTTTTCAGAAGAACCAAACTATCTCATCACCAGGGTAACTTCGAGCACAGAAGAACGGAAACATAGGCGTAATAGCGATAAACGCCATCACTTCCAGTGCTTACTATTACAAACAGGCTGACTTTATAGATATTTCACACCTGTTTCATATCATGTCATTACAGCACTCTATTCTTATTACAGAAATAAAGTATGTTAGGTATACAACATTCACAGGTAGCGCTTTGCTTAATAAATTCATTACCCATTTAGTACATTAGCACAGATGTAATAATGGGAATGAAATGTTATCTATAATCCTAAATCTAGAAGTAGAACAGAAATTCCACCAGGTCAGCAGTGAGGACAGATAGTAGCTGGTGAAATTGACCGGTGATCACGTTGAAATCCCAAATTCATAAAAACGTGAATTCGCGGGCTACTGGGCCAGATCCCAGTGACTGATTAGTTTACGAGCTTGCACTGTAACCGGAAGGTCCTGGGTTGGAACCTTCGTAGGTTAATACTTCTAAAGAGTTCCAAACCAGGGAAAAATAGATGTTCAATACTTCCCCATTTCTACTGACTCTCTAACTGACATCAAGCTGTGATCAAACCTGAAATCAGTTAAATCTTTACAAACTGACTCTTGAATAGTAGAACAGTCAAAATATGGATTATTTAAATTCGTAAGCAGCTTACAAAATGAATATAATTCCAAAAATTTCATCTGACTACCTAGCGCCGGTATGTTATGTCTAGTCGTCTGCCTTGAATATGCAATATTTAATGAAATTCTTCACACTACTGTTAACAACATCACATGTAAGCTATAGTCGGCGTTTTGAGTGCCGCATGAAAAGCGTAGGACAAAAAAATGAAGTAGGCTAAAATTAGTTAATGTGCAGTGGAACATAAACGAGTCTGAATAACAGTGTCGGTTTTAGGAAGAAGAAAATGCCAATAATATTTTTTAAAGATAATATAAATAAAAGCAGAAATAACTGTATGTATGTATGTATGTTTAATTAAGAAATGATATATCCAAGATTATCTTTTTTTAAACACATTGTTCTCAAGACAGACGTACGCTTTTATTTGAGACTTTAACACATGAATGCTTCCAGATAACGAAGAAGTCTATTTTTTCAAAGGGATTAGTATAAAAAGTAGCGATTTACACTCGTAACTGCTGTCGCTATTGTCTAAGTTACAACATTCTTCTGCCTAAATAACTATCATATTATAGTATATCCTTGAGTTTCATATAGTGAAGCAAACGTTTTACAAATGTGAAGTCATTCAACTAACCACTTACAATGTCACATCTATCTGAAACTCATTCCAACATTTTGTCAATTATAATAACATTATAACTGCCATCCATTACAACTGCATAATTTAGAATACATCTGAGTAGTTATTCAGGAGATTGTTGACTTAAATTCTCCTGTGACTCCAGATAATGAGATTTTTATATGAAAACAAAGAATCTAGTAGGAAAATTCTCTTTTCGACGATTTTATTTTCACAGCTGTACAATCGTATATATATATATACATATATTTATTTATTTAAGTATTGGTGTGCAGGGGTTTTGTTTGATTGGTTGCAAGATTTCATCATGAGCTGACCTCGACTACAGAACCATTGGAAAACCTGGGAGTACTAAAGTGCTGCTGCGTCCCAATCTGAGACTCTTCATCAGTTCGCACGCATCAAAGGGGTCCGAACCAAGACTTTCCAGTTACAAAGGCAGGCCCGTAGACCATTAAGCCACTGGGACCCAATTCAATGGCCCAATGACAACTAATGACATAGCGTGACCACTTCCCAATGTCTCCTTCTATAAGTAAATGTCTTCACCTACGACCTACTGTACCCTAATGGGTCCGAACCCCTTTGGGTGTGTACTAATGAAGAGTCCCACACTGGGACAAAACAGCCATCCAATACTCTCAAATTTCCTAAAGGTTCTTTTCCCGGTGACAGCTCATGATGAAATCCTCCAACCAACTATGGGCACTGGGTTCGAGCCTCGATGGGGAAATCATCACTCACTGAGAAATGTAGGTACATTCAGCTGACGAGTCCCAAATAGGACGAAATGCGCGTCCTGGATTCCACTGCTAACCACCATCCACCAATTAAATACTAATCAAATGCCCGGACATCGTCGAAGCATCTGCACAAGAAGCCGACATGTCAACCTGAGACCGAGCACTTCGGTCAATCAATCGACGGGAAAATCTAAAATTCAACTAAACACCTCCAGTGTGTTCCTATTCAACTGGGCGCACGATTGCGCATAATCTCTCATCTCTCTTCTCAGTATCTCCTGCATGTCACCCTCTTACCCGTACTTTACTCATCGCTTCTCATTCAGGTTCTGCTCGAGCGATGTCATGCGACGGTCTATTTAGTTTCTGCCCTATCCATCTCCATTTTCTCCTAAATATTTATTAGGCAGTTGGCTCTTGGTTGGTTTGTTCCCAGCCAGAATTTCTTGTTGCTAATTCCTCCTGACGGTCATTTGATCTTCATTATGGAGCCAGTGAAGGCAGACGTTGACAAAAGTCAGGAGCAAGCTGTTGGAAATGCTTTTTTGAACGTAAACACCAAGTTTCTGACCCGTATAGAAGAAGTGAACGGCTGGCTGGCTGACTGACTTAACACTGGTGTTGAAAATCCTGAATCTTGCTCTTTATGCTCAGTTAGTGCAGAGGATTTCCAAACTGCTTTCAGGTTGATGAAGGCGTATCTCGCCTTTCCCATCCGTTTCTTCTGCCTGTAGTTGAAACAACGCTGCCTAGACAAGTGAAGGAAGTTACCTCTGTCAAATGTCTCCCAATGATGGTGATTGATGATGGCTGTTGTTGGCGTTGCTGTTGGTTGATTGTCTTCATCACCTCCATCTTCTCTATGTTCACCTTAGATGTGTCCTGTCTTCGCCGCCTACATCTTCTCCTAGTTTGCTGGTTTTCGCCTTTGACATTAAACAGAAATCATCCACACGCGAAATTCAAATCTTCTAGAATTTTTATATTGGTCGGATGTATTCCTGCCTTCTCATTTCCTGTGCACAATCTGATGCATAATCCAGTCCACGATAATTAGGAATACCATCAATGATAACCGGTAGCTTAAGACCACATATTTAAGCACTATGACTACGAAATTATCGTCGGTAATAAAAAATTCTTTTTTCCAACCCATAATTCCTCATTATATAGTTTAAAATGCCGAACAAATGAAAACTTACAGAGAAACCGTTTAATGAAGAAAAGATACAAAACAACAGAAATTATTCTTTTACTTTTCAAAACCTGTAAACAAAATATGCATTTAAATTGAACATTAAAATGTCACATCAAAATTCAAAACAATATTATTGACAATCAATCCTTTTATTCATCAAAAGTAAACAGAGCGGGAAAAGTAAAGCATAAATAATCCAGGTTATAAAGAAAAATAATAATGATAATAACAATCATAATTTTAAAAATTGCCATCTAATTGTTTAGTTGTATAAAAGCATCCTTTTCTATGCTCTAAATATGGCCATTTATTTTCTATTTGTTCAATTATATTTGGTAAACAACGACTTCTTGACAACTGATGAACAGGTGGGTGAGACAGACTTTCTCCAGTGTTGTCTTTCTCTTTGGGATGACCATCACAACTGAAGGAATATGTTTGCCGTTGACTTTTAATAGGTCCACCAGAAGTTGGTAAACCAGCTGCTGGTAGTTGATCATATGAATTTTGCTTTTCCACGGAATTTGTGTAATTCAATCGGTAACTAGATATTGTGATAGGATTTAACTCCAGAATATCATACGGTGGTTTTATTACCTTAACAAAAAGATTAACAAAAGTACAAATAGTAAATTATTATAATAATAGTAATATTGATTTTATTTGTTAGTTATTTTTGAAGTGTTTACGCTGAAAGATTAAGTATGAAATAGAAAACCTTTTCCATTTTACATCAAAACAAAAAGAAAAATGAACTAAGTTTAAATTGATATAGGCGTGGTTACATTTCTCTACAGATGTCTAATTATCATTCGTCTTAAAAGCTTATACTTTTATTGATGTTAAGGATAAGCCGGTGTCAGTGAGTCAATAGAAGGTCTGGGGAAAGGTTGGGCGTCAGGATATCAACAATACCATAGCTGTTGGAACTTCAAAGTTTGAAACTCTGCGGTCCACTCAGAACATGAAGGAATGTAAAAAGTTAAGCCACATCAGTTAAACAAGTGTACAGTCGCCTTATCTCTGATTTTAAACTAATACTACAGTGAGGCTGTTTTAATAAGTACAGAAAAGTACAAAAGTGTGCAAAGTAATAAACTTTATTACTTTAACTCATGGCTAATTCTCGTTGTAACATATAGAAAATCAAAACAAGTGATTCAGCGAAGAGACTCTTTTCAACCAATTTATCATCAAGCTGTACAATCCTATATATATGGTTTTTAAGAAGTTATATCCAGTGAGGGAATTGAATCATAGGTGTGAATGCAAAAAATAATAATAAGAGTAGTATGAAATGCAATTAAAACTAAAATGTTTGTGATTATAATCGTAGTTAAATGTCAAGTGGCAAAACAAATTAGTGTCATATATCGGTCGTTCGACTCGAGTTTTGTCCAAGAGGGTGCAAGAACACTATCCTCCATGACTGTTACGAAGAGGTGGAAGTGAAGCAATGAGAAGCGCGATCATTGAACATCTGGTCGATAATGATCACCCAATGATCTCTACAGCCTCCGCCTTTAAAGTCATCTACAAGGTGAAAAGTAATTTACCGGAATCACTATGCGCCCGACTCATCTGTAATGCTGAAGCTTTGGCTATCGAAACAGAAAAGCAGATTTCTGTGTACAGAAAAATTCCTTCAACCCCTCCAATTTTCGTGAACTTAATCCCTCTATGCTAATGTATGGTAATCCCCAATCCTATTTTGGCTCTAACAATTTTTCATTTTTTTCATTTTTTTTATTCAATTTGCAGCATTTTCCTTTATTACGTCAATTGTTACTATTACTATTCTCACTCTGAACTGTCCTCGGTATTACTTCACTCGTTCCACTTGTCATTCTAAATCAATTCTTTTTTACAACGTTGTATTCTGTGCCATCAAATTTCACAGAGTATTACATAACGTTTTTATTTTATTCGATTTGTTTACTAATCCTATAATTGCACACCCTTTTTCAAGTTCTATCCATCCTATGAATTATTCTATATATGACATTAATTTGCCTTCCACTTGACATTTAACTATGATTATAATTTTCTATGGTTTTCAATGGTTCTCTAATTGATATCAATCCGTGATCAACTCGTAAAAATATGATTATAATCACAAACATTTTAGTTTTAATTGCATTTCATACTACTCTTATTATTATTTTTTGCATTCACACCTATGATTCAATTCCCTCACCGGATATAACTTCTTAAAAACCATATATATATGGATTGTACAGCTTGATGATAAATTGGTTGAAAAGAGTCTCTTCGCTGAATCACTTGTTTCATTTTTGTTACTTTACGCAATAAAATAAAATATCATCCGAATGTAAAGTGATTACTCGCCTACCTGTTGGGCACTCTTAAATCTATAATGCTTATCTTTGAATAGTGGATTTGATCTCTATTAAAATTCAAGCTTGTTTCTGCTTGACTGAGATTTTAAAGCTGTAACATGGAGTAATTTAATCAAAACATACTTATTTCATCAAAAACTTAGTGGGCGGATAAAGTCATCTCATAGTATAAGTACAGGAAATACCCATGAAAAAAATTCGAATTCATTGAAGATGCCCATAAAAAATTTTTGGAAGACTGATTAATGAACAAAAAATATTCTCTCTGATAAATTCATCATCAGGTTCTACATTTTTATGATAGCAATAATGATTTTTTGTACTCGGGTAGACTTACCAGTGTGTATAAACAAAGGTGTTTTCAAAAGCGTTTACATTTCAACAATGGAATATCTCGTGCAAACAGGTCGTAAAGTTAGCACTGAAGAATTTCTCTCTGTTTTTTACCGGTCATCAAATAAATTACCGCACAGTGCAAACAGCAAATGTCATTGTAATTCGCTCAAAACAACTGGAGCTCTGTGCGCAAAAAAAGCAGGTTATAACACCATAACTACCTTGACTTGCTATCGAGTCTATAAATTCATGAATTCGATGTAACTTCCCTTAAATTATCAGATATTTAGTTTAATGTTATACTATTGCGACATGCACAAGCTGGATTCAGGAAAGGCAAATCATGTACTGACCAAATTGCAGCCCTACACATCATAATCACAGAACAAAGCATGGAATGGCAATCAAACCTCTACCTCAACTTTATAGAATTTGAGAAGGCCTTCGACAGACAGCGTTGACCGCGAAGTAATCTGGAAACTACTCGAGTACTACGGCGTACACTAAATATTCATCATCATCAACCTTATTCAACAGCTGTACGACAACAGCACATGCTAAGTGATCCGCAACGGAAAACTCAGCGAGGCTTTTGGAGTAAATACAGGAGTCAGACAAGGTGCTTGTTATCACCAATGATATTCCTAATTGTGGTGGACTGGATAGTGCGTCAGACAGTGCGTGGAAACGAGAAGACAGGGATATCCTGGACCGACGTGAAAAATCTAAAAACCTGGAATTCGCGCGTGGATGATTTATGCTTGTTGTCACACAAAATCGAAGACTTAAAGCGAAAACCGACAAACTGGTCGAAGAAGCAGTCGGCGAAGACAGGACTCCAGGTGAACATAGAAAAGACGAAGGTTATGAAAATAATCAACCAACAACAACAACAGCAGAAACATCCAGCGTCAATCACCATCAACGGGAGGGATTTGAAAGAGGTTGCTTCATCTCACTTATCCAGCATTGAGCATTGCCTCAACTACAGGAAGTCGGAACGGACGAGGATGTCAAGTCGAGCGAGAATAGGGAAGGCGAGAAACACATTCATCAACCTGAAACCAATCTAGAAATCTTCGTCACTCAACTCAGGATCAACAACAAAATTCGGTCGGATTTTCAATGCAAACGTCAAGTCACTTCTTCTATACGGATCAGAAACTTGGTGGGTCGGTCACAAAGAATATCTTCAACAGCCTGTTGCAGACCTTTATCAACCAACAACTGTCTTCGCTGGCTCTATACTGAAGATGAGATGGCCGGCCGGGCCGGAAAGAATCCCCAACAAGAAACTATGACTGGGAACGAACAAAACAAGAACCAATTACCAACTAACAAATATTCAGGAGAAAGTGGAGATGGATGGATTGGACACTCGCTGAGGAGGCGGGGCTCTGAATGACATCACGCGCGCGTCAGGCCATTGCTCGAATGGAACCAGGCCGAAGGGCAGCGGCGAGTGGGATGTCAGTGCAAGGGTGACATGGAAGAGATCGTGTGAAGAGGAGTTGAAACAGTATGAACCAACATGGATGCAGGTGAAAAGTACAGCAGAATACAGTAGTGAGCAACTGGAGATGTGCAGTTGAAGCCCTATATTCCACTAGGAAACCAAGGGGACAATAATAATATCTTACTGGTGCATTTAAATTTAATCTGTCGACAACTTTGATTTGCTGTAATTTAAAATATTCATGTTATTTTTAATAATATTTGTTTGATTATGACTGTCATGTAAATGTGGAACATGATGATCACTTTATCGAAAAGAATATTCTTTGTTCATTGATAAGTCCTTTAAACACTGAATTCATTATGGCTTCTGTAAATACACAGACATCAGTCTAGTGTTACTCATCGCTTCATGTTGTTCAAGTCTATACTATGAGTTTTCAAAGTTACATTATTGGCCTTTATGCAACAGTATGAAACTTGAATACAGCATCGCTACTTATACATACAAATAAAGTCTTCTCACCAAGAAAGTATCTGAAAGCTACATAGCTAATAGACAATCTGTTGCCTACATTTTTCCTCTTTTTCATTTATACTGGTTCCTTACTTTAGGTACATTTCAACTGTACTGGTTGATTTTGCCACTTACATTGGACATTTTCAGTTTCGGCGCTAATTTTCTGCACATTACTGGTCCATTATTTTTCGAAACATGTTTTTGAAAATCTTCTCTATAAGTAGTACTTTTCAATGGATCTCTATTTGTAGCAAAATTTTCTCTAATTTTTGCATTTGCTGTAGGCATGACTTTTTGAGGGATCATTTCCAGAGGGAGACAGATTTTCCGATATTTTGTATTACTGTTGTCCAGTACAATCGGTTTAGGAGTATATTCATGAGTGTAAACAGATTCGTCAGAGAATTTCTCTGAAGTTTTCAATGGTTCGTGAACCGGTTTCACTGGCTGAACACGATCTATCATACAAAATATTAAGATATACATATATATAGTACAATTTACTAACAGTATATAATATACATTTAAAATTTAAAAATGTCAAAAGTATTCCTAACTGCGAATAAGGTTAGCGCGAACATTATCTTTAAGGCTAGTGAGTAGGCATCAAAATCTCATGTTTAGGCTCAGGAAATATGCAATAATCTTCATCCAGCATTATTCAGTTTCCCTTTTCAACATACTTCGTAAACTACTAGCAACCTCACACTCTTCTCCTTCTATGCACTTAAAACTTGCTGTTGTCTACTACCTTCGATTTCCATTACCGACAAACTAATTCAGAAGACTAGAGTCTTAAAGAAATTTCGAAAACTGTGGTCTATTCTGACAAATCAATACGAATGTTATATTAAGTGGAATTTTCAGCAGTTTAGATATTACTTTCATCGAAGTTAATATAAACTATATTACTAGATTTGATTAATGCGGATAATCTTTAAATTTTACAGCTTATCTTTCAGTTTCTCATTTCACCTGGTTGAGACTGAGGACAAATACACGCCGACGATGCAGGCTAGCGGTCACGCTAAATTTACAAATAAGTATAAAATAGAATTCATAGGCCATTAAGCCAGGCGTCAGTGGCTGAAAAGCCTTCATGCTTGCCTTGTAACCAGAAGGTCCAAATCCGGGCAGGTGCGTACTAATGAAGAGTCCCATACTAGGACGAAACAGCTATCCCTGGTTTTCAGTGGTTCTCCAACTGATACCACTCCGAGATCATATTTGAAACCATTCAAATACCTACAAAGAAACGCTCGAAAAAACATAAATATATTGAGTCTTAGAACTAATGAGTTTTCTTGCGCTACCAAAGTTTATGTACTACAATTGTGCATTCCTACACTTAGAACACATCACTATTCTTAAAGATATTTAGAGAAATTCTTAACATTACTCGAAGCCTTATCTATTCAAGGATCGAATCAGCGTTTTATTCGAGAGAGAAAAATAACAGTTTGCCTAACCTTTTAAGCATATAATGTGTTACAATATGTTTTGTCAAATATCCTACCCTGTCTATTTGACTTCCGATATTTTATGCCAGTAGTTAGTTCTTACCGAAATATCCGATGGAGACCAATTAATGTTATCTTATTTTTCCTTTACTTCCACTTGAATTCCTTCTGTCTGGTTTGCGATACAGTAACAGAAGGGCTGTTTATCAGAGTACGTTTTTATTCATTAGTCGATTGGATGTTATTAGAATAACATACACGATGCAAGTTCTTAGCAAGAAAATTAATTTAAGGACTTCTTAATAAGTATATGTAACTTCTTTAACGTATTCATGTTAACTATTACCCTGCCTTCTTTCAAACATTTCGTGTTTTTATAGTTCATTTATTATACATACCCTTCAATATTCGATTATTAGTAGCTCTGACTAGAACAACTTTCAATGACGGTGAATGTGGTCAACTGCATAAGTCAAACTGGTAGATCAGGACTAGTGAGATTATCAGAAAATAAGAATTGAGCTAAGGTAAGAATGTTTGATCCCTTGAAGATAAGTAATTTAGAGAAAAACTCAGCAATGACACTGAATGCACTAACACATAACCATACAGTAGGATGGGACAGGGCCAAAATTCTAAAAGGTAATACAGGCAGGTGGAGAGAGAGATTGATTACTGAATCCTTGTTCGTCGAGTTTACACTCAACTTGATCCTCACAAAAACATAAAATAACAGAAATAATATGAGAAACCAATTGATGTATGAGTATTCATTCATGACAAAGTACGACAAAGTGCTGACTGAACTGTGTCAACTTAAGAGCAATGAATTTCGAAAATGATTAATTTTCACAAAATGACGAATCAAAAAGCATTTCAAACTACCTGAAATTACATATAATTAACCTTTATTATTCGTTGCATGTCTTTCTCTACAGGTGGATGACTGACATAGTGCTTAAATCAGATGATTTACATTCCTTGATCAACCAATTTCTTGTTATTGTAGGTTATTGTTATTGAACGTTTTTCGCTTAAATACACTGTCTCAAGAGGAGGTATCATTTTAATGAAGTCCTCTGTATAATACTGTTTGATTTGTCACAGAGATAAATCAATAGACAGGAAGCGTCGGCGGCACAGCTGTTAGGACTCTTGTCGACCATGCACATGGTTCGAGGTTCGATCCTCTGCCGATATACATCCGATATCAGTGGTTGGCCTGCAAAATTGGGCTAACGATATCACATGCTGAAAATTCTATGCTTGTACGAAAAATACTGCGTGGAGTCAAGCTATAATAAAAAAGCTATAATTAATAGAGGTTTCATCATTAACGGGACTGATTATTAGAGCTCATTCTTTATGCAATCAACAGGATTGGGTAATAATTCTTTTGAGTTTTCCCATTTACGCTTGATTGATTTGGAAATCATAAGTCTCCAATTTTTACAAATTTGATATTAATGTGTAGTTTTCGTGTCATCATTTTTAAATGGGAAATGTTTATTCCATTTGTATAATTTATTGATGTTTAAGACAATCAACTTTTTCATGAAGTCTAATATTTCACCATTCATTCTCCCTAACTGGTTTGAATCTCTATACAATTCAGATAATTGACTTCTATTGAGTTTTACGTCAGTGTTGACAGTTCAGGATAAATGTTCAGACGTTTTCCACTACTTATTTTAATAGGCTTCAATCTTACTTCAAAAGAATGATTGAAACTAGCGTATGACAAGTATACTACGATGAATTCAAAATATATTTACAGACTCCTTTTACAAAATAAAATCAACAGTAGGTATAATCCAGTTTATTTATATTTTTAGCTGCAGTTTTAAACTGTCATATTAGGCGGATTAGATTTGATCTTACGAGTCTGATCACGAATTGCTAGAATTTAGAATTTAAGGGTCATTGTATCGAGTCCCAGTGACTGAATGGTATACGAACTCACCTTGTAACTGGAAGGACTTGGGTTCGAACCCCGTTCGATGCGTTCTGTCAATGATTCCTAAACTAGGATGGATGAAATAACTGTCCAGTACTCCCTGGTTTTCAATGGTTCTCTAACTTATATCAGTCTGTGGTCAAACTCGAAAAAAATTAACTGTTTACAATGTGTTGTCTGCAAAAAGTGGTATATTCTAATGGATAACCAGATTTTTTATCATCCCACAGTAATCTAGTTACAGTAGGCTAAGCAAACTATTTTTAAATGATTAAGGTGGCGAATAGAAGAAACTAAATCAACGAACGAATTTCACAAAAAGATGCTATTCCGTGTAACATTCTTCGAAATCCTTTCGGGAACTTTTAAGAATCTATCTGAACGAAAAGACTACCATAAATGGTAATTTCAACACAATTTAGCAATAATTTAGTACCTGCACTGCCTGAAACATCAAGTGGAATAAATTTATGTGTTACTATATCCTTTATGAAATGAACATATCCAGCAGAGAATTATCAACTTCCAGAGTAACATGGTACTACCTTTTTCACTCACAATTGGCTTTTCGTTATTTCACTAACCTGTGACAACTAATAATATTACTTCACTATCTGACGTTCCAAGACGTTCTGCTAAATGATAAGATTTGAATCGTCCTCAAATCGATACAAAAGTATAAAATATGACAACTAGCTATCATTCCTATAGTAGCATTTAAGTCTTTTCCTTTGAAAACAATTACGATTACGAAGTGTTAGTTTGTAGGGATTTGATTAGTATCAAGTCTAATCACAAATTGATATCAGTTACAGAACCACTGAAAACCAGGGTGTACTGGACTGCTATTGCACCCTAGTCTGCGAGTGTTCAACTTGACACGCCCATCAACCCAACAGGAATCAAATCCAGGCCCTACAGATTAAAAAGCGAGATCGTTAACCATTCAGCTACTGGGATGGAATCTAACAGCCCATCAATTCTGTCTTGTGTCAGTTCGCAGTTTTCAGCGCAAGTCAGTGTCATCAGCAAATATTTGTCCTTTGACCCAACCTGGTGAATCCCACCAGTTATGACCCCTCACTAGGATTCTAGGTAACTTAGGCAAGTAGTCAGTCACTTGTCAGCAGCAGATTAGTTTTCGAATGTTAGTTTGTAAGGATTTTATTGGTGTGACTTCATGAGTATACCATAATTAAATGATCTTAAGGAATTTTCTCTAGAAACGTTAATATAAGAAAGTTTTATTTTTGTTCTCCTATTGAATGAATTTATTTCGCCTTGTTTAACGCAGAAACAAAGAACAACAATACTGAGAGAAATAGACCAATAAATAACTACTTGTAGTGATCGCCATTATTTTTGACTAATTCTCTATCTAATAATTAGATAAGGTCAAATTGTTTCCCTAGAGAACACCAAAATATCAATTCAGAGATACATCAAAGGATGATAATAATTATAAGAGACAGATTTATTTGTGCATTGCAAGATATTGATGAACTATTTAGCAATCTAGAACAAAGAATGAAAGGACATCCGTCATTCGTTTTTCTTCTCAAAGACCATATTTTTTTATTATAAATATCTTGACTATTTTATACAACCGATTCTCTTTAAATATTTTGATCAAAGCAAAAAATAACATATTTGCTAGTAATTTCTTTATTGTATGGAGGATTCCATTATGAGCTGACATCAGTTAGAGAACGTTGGAGTGCTGGACAGCTGTTTTGTTCTAGTTTGGGACACTTCATCAGTACGCACCCACCGGGATTCGAACCCACGACCTTCTGGTTACAAGGCGAGCTCGTAGACCATTAAGCCACTGAGACTCCATCCAATGGCGCATGAATTCTAACTTTTGCCAATTTACGACTCAGCGCAACCATTTCGCAATGTCTTCTTTGATGAGTTACTGCCTCATCTTCAATCTGCTGTACCCTACTGGTCACGGCTTCCCACTAGAACCCCAGGTTAACTTCCAGGATAGGGCCAGTCGCTAGTGAGCATCAGATTAATTTTCAAGTATTGATTTTGTAGGGATATTGTTTGATTGTATGGAGGATTTCATCATAAGCTGACATCAGTTAGAGAACCACTGGAAAACCTGGGAGTACTGAACAAACGAAACCCTACAAAACCAATACTTAAAAATTTCTTTATTCACTGCCTTTTCAGGGGAATTTATGGAAGTGTAAGATACTTGTGATCACGTCGCACAAGCTATCTCTTCTTTGACTAAAGATACCCACTGTGAATTTCAGAATAATGAACACCTAAAAAAGAACATTTCTTTCACTTAGTTCTTCACCGGGTCGTACAGTTATATGCCCATAATAGTTAGGTAATAATTTATATCGACAAAATCGGTCTTTTCAAGTATCATGGAATCATCAAGGTCATAACTGCAAGAAGTATATGCGAATAGTTTGTTAACAGACTACAATTCAAAACATGTTAACGTGATAATATGCTCAGGTTTCTAGAGCAACGGCCTATATAACTGGCTTCACAGGAGCATCTGTATACATAGATACAAGAGCAGGTATCTAGCTTGCGTACTTCACCTTTCAGTCAAGGAATCACCGCTACCAGTAGTAAGGGAAATATTGCTTGAAGTTTACCAGCATTAAATGTTTATTGAATTGATATTTTAGCTTGTCGCTTATTATGTAACTCGAGGCGTCAAGTTCAAATTGTAGCTAAATGTAAAAAGGCTTTTTATCTACAGATACAAAACTGTTCTTTTAGACTTTTTCAGCTATTTGAACTCTTATGGTTAGTTATTTTCAATTAGAGTGTCATATACAATCTTCACTTCATCTCCAGTTACATCTTCTTCTTCTTTTGTACTGGAAAGGAATACAGCTATGAAAATGTGCATAGTTTCTTGTTGGTGATTGTTTCCGGCCCGGCCATCTGATCTTCAGTATAGATCCAGCTAAGACAGTTAGTTGTTGATGAAGGTCTGCAACAGGCTGTTGGAAATATTCTTTGTGACCGACCCACCAAGTTTCTGATCCGTATAGAAGAAGTGACTTGACGTTTGTATTAAAATCCGACTGGATTTTGTTGTTGATTCTGGCTGAGTGACGAAGATCTCCAGATTGGTTTCAAGTTGATAAATGTGTTTCTCGCCTTGAACCATAATGTACTACCAATAGTTTATTCTTATATAACTCCGGAATTTTAATATCATTAATTCGATTTTGTTTTTCTTAAAAGTAACAGTCGCAATAATTCTCTAATTATTATGGATGTATAACTGTAGAGGCTGATGAACAACTTATCGGAATAAATATCCTTTCTTCAGTAACCAATCTTTTAAAATATCTTTTTTTCTTATTCGCTGAATAATGCTCGCAGAAAAACTGTTCGTATACTAAATAAAGAGAATTTAAGAAATGACATTCCAGAAAGACATTCATTAAAATTCCTTTATCCTTGAGTTCTGAAAATAGTGTTATGTTTGTTTTTAACTGCTTAAACAAATTAAATTATACTTCTAGCCACCGCCTATGTTAATGTTAGATTACTGATATCAAAAGCTGCTTTTCTAACTAATTATTAAACACAACTATCCATTATTATGAAGTGCAAACCAAATGCGAATTCATCCCCTAAATATAAAGATTCATACCTCATCAGAAAACATATCAGCAGTGAACCAGCAAGTTTAAGATACCTCAGGACACAGATCATGATATAATATCTCTGTATGAAGATTTGAAAAATAATAAGAATATCAATTGTGTGCATTTTTATTTATAACTTACCGGCCTCTTTTGGAGAAAAGTGTTCACGATATAAAGACATCTTTGTGAATGGTTCCTTACTTCTTACAATTTCATCTGTCCTCCTCCATTGTTTATGCCTTGAATCATAATCATCAATAAGCCAATCTCTTGGTTGTTGATTAAGCAGACTTGTCAGTGAACCACTGAAATTTTCAAGTACATCTATTTTCTGTCGTGCGTCTACAACGGAAACAGATTTCGACTTCTCACCCAAATCCCAGTTAAGCGTACTTCTGTATGCAGAAACCTTCGTAAAACAGATTCATAAAAGAAAATAAATAAACCTGTCAACTATAAGAAAAGCCAATAAGGACGTCAAACGTTTGTCACGAATATAAAACCGATGCTCGAAATATGACCGACAATTTATCTTAATCGGATAACAAGTATCAGACTAATCAACAAGAAAGTACAGATTTAGAATTTGCATAAAAAAAATTAAACAGTCGGTGAAGTTGCAAGCGAAACCTCATATCTCCAAGTCATACACTTCCTTAAAGTGGGAGGAAAAGCGAAGAAAGATATCTCATGGACGTCTTCCAAAAGAATAAATATCCATGAAATTTCATTAAAAGACATATACCCCCAAGCCAACCTATCAAACCAAAAGCCCCCAAGGTAAGCACAAAGAAAATCGCCCTACCATACACAAAGACATCACAAAAATCACTGTAAGACTCTTCAAGTCTTTAGGAGTTGACGTCGCACACAAACCGACAAAATCACTTCACTCAGTTCTATGTCAACCAAAAGACTCAAAATGAAAGAAGATAAGACCAACATCATTTACAAAATAAATTGTAACAACTGCGAAAAACACTACATTGGCCAAAGTGGACATCTCCTTCGTCTTCGTATCCATGAGCATAAGCTGCCCGTCAAAATACATGAAATCCACTCCATAGCACATATCACTACATACAGAAAACCATGGACATCAATTCGACTGGGACAACGTTCACATATTAGACAGAGGAAACAACAAGAATGCTAGAGAATTTTTAGAAGCTTGGCATTCCAGTGAATCATCAATCAATAGACACATCGAGATAGACAAAATTTATCAACCGATAAGAAGAAACTCACACACAAAGGATCAAAGTTCAAGTCAAAGAAACAATTAGTTCCAATACAAGTAACCTACAAGCTGTGACAACACACAAAAACAACCAGTCACATCCAAGGTCACCGACTAGGAGAGATGATTGATAAACTCGTGGAGAAATCTAAAAGCTCACTTCAACAAATTGAAGTATGCGCTGAAGATGTTGCCGAGTAGGGCGATGAAAGCTTCGCAAATTAACCGTCCAGTTCAGAAAACACAACCACATCAAAATTCTATTTTTGTTTGCTTTTTAGATGTATCAGACATATTGAGGTCAATCGATTTAACTGTGGAGAATAAGGCTATCTAGTGAGCGACGCTACCTTACTGTTTACTATGTCTAAAATAACATACAGATACCAAGCGGCGTGAAAACATGAATACCGTTGCATGTTTAAGGTAAAATTATAAGTGTGCCGAAGTGGTGCTTACGTCCTAGCTTCCTGGAATTCAAGTGAACTGTTAAACTGGTTTATAAAAGTCAATTACGTAGATATGGTCTAAATGCCTCAGTAACTGAACGAATTCTTATTTGCCTAATAAATACTACATAATGATAAACGGTAAGGGGAAATTAGAAGCGTCTGTAAGTGAAATAGTGTTTGATTGTTGAAACAATCCACATTTCAGCTGAAGTAATTAAGATTTTGTCTGAAAGCAATGGTTAAAAAATTAAAAGTAAATAACTGTTTAAGATAAGAGTGTACAGTATGTGATATTTTATGAACTCTGAAATCTCTCTAAAGGAGTTTCATCACCTTAATTACTGGAATCAAAGGAGTTATAAAAGTCAACGAGTGGTCAAGTAACGTGAAACCTTATCTTCGGTCTAAGTGCACACACAGATAATCGTAACATAAACTCTAATTAAAAATTATCGATGTTTTGAAGTATGTAAACTCAGACTGAGTATGACATTTGAACGAAATGGTAATCACTTGACAAGCAGATATAAATCGAACTGTTATCTACCTCCTTCACGTAGTTTAAGGATCATCAAAACAGTTAATAATCTCAAAACTGATATGAAAAATATAAACAACTTTTGTAAATGCCACCGTGTTTAACTACAAGTTAAAGAGGAAAGGATGACATGTCTTTCTGTTCACTTAAAACTGAACAGAATTTGAAGAATAGAGAAACAATGACTCAGTACTCATAGAACTTGTAAACATATTACACCTGTTAGTGAGGTTAGCGGTATTCATAAAACATCAATGAGGAGTCTGAACAAGATAAAAAATAACACTGAATTTAGAGATAAACAAATAGTGAAATACCAAGATTGTTCTTGTTGTTATTTTACCTTCGGTTTATAACTTCGTGCCCGAATCCCCTCAGGCTCTGTTTTTCTTGATGTCCCTAGATGCCACCGATAGTCCAATCTTTGTAAACTTTGTAAGTCAAAATAATTGGGATCTTTAATCCATAAAGGTTGACTAAGTAGATGTCTGGAACTCTGAATTTCCACTGACATATCCAGTAGACTGAAAAATCAAAGTAAGTCGTGTTATTTAGAATCAAGCATCAAGTGTTGAGGAAAAAATTATATCTTGTAAATATCACTCACCTGTGGTTGCAGATAGAAATCAAATATGAGTGTTACATGGCTGTTTTTATCACAGCAGTCAGTAACTCAAGCCTATGCATCTTGGATAAGCGAAGATTTCACTTGAAGTCTGGACGGCTGGTACTTTTTCTAAACTAAAGAAATATGATAGTAGATATCTAATTGCCTCCATATAACACGTCTATTAGAAGAACAGTGCTCAATCCCTTTGTATACATTATTTTCTCATTTAAGTGATAAAACGCCTATGTGGAGCCATTCTAACAAAATGTATTTGAAAAATGATTAGTTATTTCTTTCGTACCGGTTAGCGATGAAATTCGCAATGCTCATTCCCTCCCCCCGCCCATTTCAGATTCATGAACTGAATCTGCTTATAGTTCAGTGGATTCTGGTACTGACACTTATAGCGACAATATTTCACCATTCAGGTTAACTTAGTGTGACCGATACCAGTCCGACGAGTTAAATAAACACAACATGACATTACAAGCAAATATAGTAGACCAAGAAGCTTCTAGCAAATTATTCTGGGAATCAGATAATGTTTAGATGATCTGTTTCTTTCTGATAGTTCGATAAGTGAAACACTTGAAGAACGCCATTAATGTTGCATAAAAACTTCCCCTGTTAAATTACTTGCACTTAGGATATATATAAAATTTTATTTATTGAAACTGCTTGTTTTACTCCCTGAATGTCCAATAATAACGGCTACTTTATAACCAAGACATGCAACACAGCATCCAGTTCACCTCAGAAAGTGTAATTGCGTCTCGGCTTTTTAGACCGCATAGTAAGTGCCACGGAAGGATGTGTATGAAGTTGACTGCTCCGATCAATCACTAGAATAAATGCTACATTTATCCTACTCCCTTTAGTTGAAGCTATTAATTGGATTGCACAGATCACAATGTGTTGTTTTAACATTTCAGACTTTGAAAGAATCCATAATGAAACCTAACTGCTGATTAGAACTCCAATGAACATTTACTTTGGTAGCATTTTTACAACAAATCAATAGAAAGATATCCTATTCCAGGAAAATATATGTACATTATTTTTTACATAATTTGATATTTGACCACAAATAAATTATTGACATTTGTTAGATGTTTACCAATATTTTTTTTCTTCGTGGCACGTTCCGGTGAAGTAGGTGAAAGTTAACGATACTTTTTAATGCATATATTTGCAGTATAAAAAATGCTTCAGATGACAAAGTGAAACGTTGTTATCGTAAGTTAGAGATAAATTGTTATTACGCATTTTTAGGAATTTGAATCTTTTCCTGAGTAACTGCACCACTTCGGATAAAATCACTTGTTTTCAAGTATTAGTTTCTAGGCACTTTGTTTGATTGGTTGGAGGATTTCATCATGAGCTAATCTCGGTTAGAGAACCACTGGAAAACCTTAGAGTGCTGGACATCTGTTTAGTCCTAGCTGCTTGGGACTCTTCATCAGTACGCACCCAATGGGTCCAAACCTAGGATCTCCTGGTACAAGGCGAGCTCACAGACCACTAAGTCACTGGGACCCGATCCAATAGCCAGCCCATGAATTATAACTTCTACCAATTCATAACATAGCACTACCACTTCGTAATGTCTTCTTCGATGAGTTACTACCTCAACTTCAACCTGCTGTGCCCTAGTGGTCACGGTTTTCCCCTAGAACCTCAGGTACCCTCCTGAATACGGCCAGTCGACGGTAAACATCAGATCTAATGGATTATAGTGGGAAGCTGTCAACAGTAGAGCTCAGCAGGTCGGGCGTGAGGACAATTACCCGCCGTAGGCATTGCTAAGTGGTCGCACCATGTCATAAATTGGCAGAAGCTGGAATTCATGGGCTGGCCACTGGATCAGGTCCCATTGGCTTAGTGGTCTACGAGCTCGCCTTGTAACCATAAGGTCCTGGGTTCGAACCCCTGCGAGTGGGTGCTGATGAAGAGTCTCAGATTGGGGCAAAACAGTTGTCCAGCACTCCCAGATTTTCCGGTGGTTCTCTAACCGAGATTATCTCATGATGAAATCCTCCAAACAATCGAACAGAATCCCTACAAACACTTGAAAATCGCCTGACACAATTTTTGCGGACAGAATTTGTTCCCTCAGTAAACTTTCATTGAAGGACTACATTGATGACTCTTGCACACTGTCAGTCCGTAATGAGTTTCAGAGCACTAACCAGTCAGTTAAACAGAGTAAACAAGAAAAAAGTTTCTATTCTTCATCACTTTGTCGACTTGATATAGAGCACCTCTGTTTGACTGCTTCACAGGAATACACAAAATTTTCCAATACTACATGACAAGACCTCAAAACCGTGATTTATACATAACTGAATCAGTGGCTGTTGGAGCCCTAAAACTGGACCTCTTCGTTCGAAAGCATCACACATACTCAGTCGCTTAACCAGGAACAGAGCAACATTTCTGCCATTATTTTGTCTCATTTTATTGTTTATTTTTTAATAGCACCCTCCAGTTTTTAATGTCTACTTGTGCATCCCCTTCTACGGCATACCTCGCATACGCAAAACAACTTCTGGAACACAGCTACCAGTATTTGAGTAATTTTATGAATTCTTTGTCGATTAAAAGCACGATTGTAAAGCTTTGAAAATGATTCGTCGAAAAAGGACTTTTCATGTTCAAATAAAAATAACTTCACCGATATCAATACCTTCCTGACTAAAAAATAAAGCAAACCCATAATTACAATTTACTGTAATTGTATAGTACCAACATTCATGGTTGTATTTAATGGACATACAAATTTAATTACACGTATGAATAGTATATTCGAGAGATACACAAGGTTTAACGAAAAGGTATTCAAAATATTTTTAAAATACATTCTAAAGTTAGGGGTTTGAAAGGAGGGAAGAATAAAAGGCAAAACCTGAATGAATATAGATAACGTACTAAATTATTGTACAAATTAGAAAAAAAGATTGAACAAACCACCTCTGTTTACACAGTTCAGGGTCTTCCTTGAGTATGACAAGAGTTTATGTTGTGAAAAGAAGGTATAGTATGGAACTTTTTGGGCGACTTGGTCTTGACTCACATATTACTTTGAAAGGTTTTTTATTGACGCGAAATAACTTGTCTGAACAAGGTACTCAAGAATTGAGCTATTGGTTTGACTAATTTATCCTTTCAACAACTATTTTGAGAGATGTCCTTGTGCGCATCTAGGCAATGTCCTACTGGTAAGGCCTGCGTACTTAGCTCCACAGTGGCAAGTGAATTGACATATGCACATGGATGTTGCCAGCGATCGAGCATTGGTTCTATTCATTTTGATGAAGAAGAGTTTGTGTAGAGAAGGCGAAAGGTAAATATGCCTTAGAGAATATTTTTAGAACTTCGATTATGCGCTTCAAAACATTTTAGTTGCTGGGTCAAACTTGAATTTTAGGTTTATAATTAGCATTTTTTCTTTGGTTTTCTGTCTTTTGAAGATTTACACTCTTATGTTTCATATGCTCATTAATGGATAACGATTATGAATCAGAGTTTTTCGGAGAGACTCAAGTCCTTTATTTAGCTTACCTTTCGTGCACTTGAGAGTGGTTTTTGTGAGAAGGAATTTGATGAGGTTTATTATTCTACTTAATGGAACAAAGCTGTAAAAGTTAGTCAGCTGCCCGTTCAGTTTCGGATTGCACCGAATTGGTCTCTGGAGGGAACCGTCATTTCTCCTCCAAACCTGAACATCCAGAGCGAGGAGTCTTCCTTCTCGCTCATCTTTTTTAAAGTAGAACTAAATGATCGATGAGTGTTTTATATACTTCAAGGATTTTATTTAGATCAGCATTTTCATCGGTAATGATGAAAATACCATCTAACACAATCTACATAGACTTTAAATTGATTTACAGATGGTTTTAAGGTACTCGTTTCTATGTGTGCCATGAACTTGTACAACAGTCTACTATACGAAGGATACTCATTTAGTGATTGGCCTCTTATTCTTCCCTATCACACTCCTAACTTTAAAATATACTTTAAAACTGTTCTGTCTTGATTGTTATTCCAGTCGCTTTTGCGACTAATAGTAATTCTTTCTGTAGATACACAACACTGAATATTTTCAGATTACGCAATTCACTATTTTTCCTAACCTGTAATTGCATATGCTGTATTTCCAACTAAAAATGTGTTCAGTAAGAAATTATTGACTGATGTGCTTTTAAAATATTTTTAGCTAATAACATTGTTATGAAGAGAGCTAAATAAAAGCTGAATAGCTAGTCTATTTATTGTTTTAATGCTTCAAAATTAATTAAAATAACTGTTCACACTTTTAAAACTTTAAAAGCTGCTATTATCTCTTCCCTGTGTAACTTAATTATGAAGAAAACTGTTGCATATAAGATTAATTTGTTCACTCACTCCACGCATTACTGCCTTTTTTTAGGTTTCCGGTTTGTATTTTTCTTTAAAAGCCTAATCTAATATGATGAAAGCAGCTAATAGAATTATAATAATAAAAAAGTATGTAAACTCATTGAAGTTAATAGAAGTCTAATGGTAAAATGTTTTCATGTATATATGTTGCTGAATTATTACAGAGAATTCAACTTTTGGTTTGCGGACATTTGAGTGGCGGTACAGGATTCCATCATGAGCTGCTATCAGTAAGAGAACCAGTGGAAAATCTGGAAGTACTGAACAGCTTTTTCGTTCGAGATTGAGACTCTCCAGCAGTACATTAGTGATGAATATATTACGCGGATGGTGTTCTTCACTTCATTCCGTCTTCTTCAATGAATCCGCCATTGGTAGGATTTATTTGTCGTCTTCATTCCATATATACATGAATTTCTTTAACCTTGTGTTAATAGTACTTTTTGTGATGAAAGGACTTCTAAGTTGGTCTAATCAAATCGGATGAGTTACAAT